TTTTTTAGTCTTATTTCTTAGAATTTCGCGATGACTGTCGCTCCTAAAAATTTTGAGCTAAGAAATCTGGAAACTAGACATTCGGCGCTTTAAAATGCTTTTTTTAAAACCTTGATACGACCATTTTTAACTGAGATACAGCATTCTGAAAAATCACTAAAAATTCGAAAAATTTTTTTGCTCCCTTAATTGTTTGCAGAAGTTTAGTATAAAATAGTTTAAAAGATTTCTCTGTTCATAGAAACACAAATTTGTATAAATTTCCCTGAAACTCATAAGCTATATTGAAATTTTCCGAATTATTAATCAAAAACTGTTAAAATTGGCATGCAATGAAGTTTGACGATGAATATCTTTTAAACGCTTTATTTAATTGACTAATCATAAGAGATCATTTTTGTAGAGCAGTTAATTTCCTACAAAATTATGAATTGTGCATTTCATAATGATATTTTGTTAACGAGTTATAAAATTCATAAGCAAAACAGAAATTTGTCTTAAAATAATCAAACTTCATTCAACCTTTAATACCTTTTAAACGGTGAGGTTTATGAAAAAATTGTAAGAGACCTTTTTTGTAGAGCGTTCAAATTCCTACAAGTATATGAGGAGAGATATTTTTAATGAACAGTTGATAGAGAGATATGAATTTTTTTTCTAATACTGAGGAAAAAATGGAAAACTGTAAAGCAGAGAACCTTCCTATTAAAATTAAGTGCTCATATTTGGAGAGAATTATCTAGAGGTGTCTAACAACCTATTGTTCAGAGTATAAAGTTAAAAAAAAAATAGTCGATTTTTTTGACCCACCAACTTGCTTTTCATATACACTCTAAACGGGGCTCGTCCTCTAAAGAGTACAAGCTGCCTGTCAACACATAGATGGGCACTTGGATTCAAAAAACGTTTACTGTTGGAGACAAAAATTTCAAATACCTATTGGAGCCAGCTTGTCTGTTGATTTTCGCATCTCCCTTGTCTGAAAGTTATCAAATCGTAAGAACATTGTAATTTCTTTGTACCTGTCTCTCGACATAGCAGCAGGTATTATGGGACGGCTGTAAGCTATATCCTGACACCAAAGCATTTTAATGGATTCTTTTGAACAATGCAGTGCACCCAATGTAAGAAGGAGCCCAATATAAGCCTTGATTTCAATAGCCTCAACAGGTGTATAACTTCTAGGATTGTTAGGATTTTTGTTATTCCATTCAATATAAAAATATTCAGCTTTCCTGTTTGTCTCGCAAACGATCATGTTAATAATCCTAGGAATAAAAAATAGAAGAAAAGCATCTTGCATGCTAGAAATACTAGAGATATATGTTGTCGTCAGTCCAAGTGCAGTTTTTTGAATATTTGTTTTTGGTAGTTTAGCCCGTGTCTTTATTGGTATCTTCGACCATTCACTTCCATCTTTTGCCACATATTCTGGAAAATCTTTAGTATAACTGCGAAATTCTATAGGAACACTTTCTGCAACGGCTTCAAACTTGGCTTGGATCTGCAGATCAACGACAATTGTATCCTCCACTTGATTTTCTTCCGTTACGACATCTATTTCCTCTATGTCACTAGTAACCATTTCATAATTTTCAAAATCCGTATCATCATTCTCAAGTAAATACAAAAGTTCTTCATCAGTAAGGCGTCTGTTATCTTGAAATTGTGGCACAGTATTCATATTGAACCGCACACAACAATAAACTAACACAAACTAAAATATATTCCCCAAATATACAGCTCGAAGTAAATAAATGTATGCGATTGGTCAACAACGAATCAGGTAATGCGTGATGTAGCTTTTGATTGGTAGAACAAAGCCACCAGTTTACCCGCGTCCACACAGATTTCCAAAAATTTTAATATACTGTAAAAGCAGGACCCCAGACCAAAAAAATTAATATATAATTTAAACTGAAATGAATATGTGTGAAATAATATAATAGGCAAATGAAAAAAAACACAAAGAAGATAGATAGCCGCTCAATAAACAAAATCGAAAATCAGAAAAGTTATTTCAAAAAATTATGGCTTGGGGTCCACACAGACCCCGGCCTGTCCGTTGAAAATTAATAGGTTTATTTATAGGAAAATATAATAATTCAAAAGAAAAATAACAATTGAAAAATCATAAATTAAAAGATAGTTTACTTTTCTAAGATATTTGTTATTATGTATTGATAAAAATTTAGAATTCTAAGAATTGCGGCAAATTAGTAAAAAAATGTAAGTATTCAACATCAGTTAACAATCCTTGCTCATACATTTGTTGCAAATCATATACTGTCTACGAATTGCTAGTGAATTTTCAATTCCAATTTTTATTTCTGAAGTTATTTACCATCAGACACCGAAATAAGTTTCGTATAATTTTCATCATAACCTCTCGCGGAATAATTTTGGGGTTGTAAAGCCTGGACATGAACACACCGTATATGAAAATGGTAAACCTGGTATTTACATAATGTTTTGCATACTTTTTGGGAAGAAATGTTCAAATAGCATGTAATTTACGTCAATAATGTTCTTTGTCCAGCATCTTGAACTCGTATAAATAAAGTAATCTCGATTGACCATGACTGGAAAATGATCAGAAAATGTTCCTTATAATAACACGATGGCTCTAAGTGTTTCGCTGTCATTTACCGTAGATCAATAATCTGTTACAGAGGTCATCTAATTATTAAATCTACATTCTACTTTTATACTGAAAGCAATTTGTTGAGAGAGAAGTGGGAGGTGTTTTGTTGACAGGTAACGGCAAGCATTGTATATAACCTATTGACTCATAATAAGCAAGGACCTGCCTTAAAGGATGTAATTATTTTAAATGTAAATATCTTATTCAAAAAGTTTTATTAAAGCTTTTTTAAAAAATATTTAACAAACAACATCCCAACAAGCCCCAGTTAAAAGTAAACTTCATTTTCAATGACGACTTGTATAGCAAGTGCCCGTTTTATCAACCACAAGGACCTCAGTTGTAAGAAATACGGTGGGTTAAATTAGAGCAAAGTTAACAACAATTAAAATGTTGAAAATGAATTTGATCTATCTTTCTTTTCATTTGGAAAGTATTGACAAAAAATTTAAAATTTTGACGTTATTTTTTAATTAATAACTGAAAAAGGTAGACATTTTAAACTCTGAATATTTTTTATTGGAACATCGTAATATCTGCCGTAGCACCTATCAGGATAAAGAAATAATATTCAACTTTTTTTATCTATCCTATATGTACTGGACTTTCACATTTTTACATTCAGCATATTTTTCTAAGAGTAAATTCATGTGAAAACTACATTTTTAATTTTCAATTAAAAAATTAAATCAATCTGGTATATTACTTTTATAATTAAATATGTATTTTTATTGCATTATTTCTTGGAATAATTCTAGCTGGTAAGTATCTTTTAAGCTTTTTCTTCAATTTTTTTTTTAGTTGTTTTAATAAATTAAAATCTACAGTGTCTCTCGTAAACTTTTTTATTGTTTTGAAGTTTCGAGAGAGGTGTCGCTCTTTTTCTCAGAAGTAACTCTGACAGTTTTCCACCAGTGGTATCGAATTTTATAATTAGCTTGCGAACTGCTCTACGAATTACAGTTACATTTGGATACTTTTCATTAAAAATTTACATTGTATATCGATCGATATAAAACATTACCAATTCCATAACATTTCACAAGATAAATTTGTTGCTCCAGGCTCCAGGGTTAGCATTATTAATAAAAATTATTCGGTGGGCAGTTAATAAGAATAAATATGTTGATGTTGACATTGATAAAGAAAAATCCATGGTAATTATATGGTGTATAAGATAGTTAAAAATTGTAGTGCCTTTTTATTTGCAAAATGTGATTATTGTTCTTTTCTGACTAAACCCCGTAATTAAGCGTTTCTTGAGATTTCGAACAACTGTTAAATACAGTTTTTAACGAAAACAAAAATTAAAGGCACTTTGTTTAGGGAAAATTTCACATTTTGAAATTTTTTGGACGCCCTGAATGTTTTATTTCATATTTGATTACTGCCCATGGCTTCCCAAGATAAGCAAAACTTTTTAGCAAGAATAACTTTTTTTCGTAGAATTAACAATTAAAAAGTTTACAAGAGTGCGGTATCCCATCTGGGGACACACTGTATATATACAGGGCTGGAAAATCCACATGGTCCATCTGCCTTTACATGAGAGCGACAAAGTAAAGTAAAGAAATCCGTGCGATAGACAAGGATGGCTATAGTGAAGACGTTTCATAATCTGAATAGTCACCGCCCGTTTCGGGTTAAAAGTGGGACTGACTATTCAGATTATGAAACGTCTTCAATGTAACCATCCTTGTCTATCGCACGGATTTCTATGACTTACTTTATCGCTCTCACGTAACGGCCGATGTACCATGGGAACTTTCCGAACCTGTATACATATATTAGTGTTAATAAAATTTTATAAATAACTATCTAATTTCTTCAGCATGCCAACAACCAAGAATGGGGATTCCACAATGCCAAGGTGAACTGTGTAGCTTGGTCTCCGGATTCCCTGCTAGTTGCAAGTGGTAGTCTTGACACTAGCATTATCATATGGCACGTAGAGAAACCGGCCAAACATATTATAATTAAGAGTAAGTTTAATCTTTACAATTTTTTTGTAAATAAAAGATAACGGAGCTATTTAATCTATTCTAATATCTAATCTATTTTTTATTTTTGTACTCACAACAGTTAAAAGAAGAGTAAGTTTATTGAGTGATAAGTAATAAGTTGTAGAGGATATTGAATGTTTCACATATAATCTTAAATCAAGCTGCTGCTCACAATTTTAAAATTGTCTGTTAGGATGGCACAAATTTCGATTTTGGAAAATCTATAGTAGGATCATATTCGATGCAAAGTAGAGCAAAAAATTGTAGGTCTTTTATCAAAGGAAAATCATGTCGTCATTTTTAGGACGCGTAAGATGAACCATTTCAAATATAAAATAAAATTGAATGTAAAATCTGAAATACCGCTTCATATGCACTGTGTTCTGGTAGTAGCTGTAGCCACCCAGGTGCATCGAGTGTACGAAGTGGTCGGTTATACGTCAAATACTAACCTGGCGAGCTTGGTCGTAAATCAGAGAGCGCCTCCAAAAAAAAAACAAGTAAACAACAGTGGCACGTACAGAGGTAAAATGTAGTACATATGTGGAATTTAAAAAACATTGGATTTATAATAAATTACATTTAAAATAAATAGTTTATGAGAATAAAGGAATTTTTGTAGGAACAAGGGTGCCAGACGTGAACTGATCCCTTTATAATGCATAAAGTAATTATTCAATTTCTAAACCCCTTAAAACCGTACTGCACTGGATCCCTTGACAGGCAATGATTTATTACTTTACATCGAATATGATCCTACTATAGAAAGATGTATTACAGCTGCAAAATATTGCGATTTTTCCTTGCTGCATCACTTGGTAAAAAAAAAAAACAGAAGATATGCTGATAATTACCATAGAGGGAATGTTTTACATAAACTTGCTATGAATATCACCACTAACAGTTTAAGATTATATGTAAAATTTCCAATACTTTCTTCAAAAGATTAATAAAATGATTAAAAAAATAAATATTAAAAATGATTCAGTTTTTTAATAGAGCTTATTTAATAAAGTTAACTCTATAGTCATTCTACAAGGTGTTTTAAAGTTCAGAAAAAAAAAATGGGAATGGCGTTGTATACTGCACATTGTAAATCGTCATTCAAAATGCGATGTGTGCATATTTTCAACAAAACGCCGCGATAAGTTTTGTACGTTTGATAAACGACATCAAACCGCATAATCTGGTTAAAAACAGCCATCTTATTTTATTTATTTATTTATATAAAAAAAAAATCAAGAAACAGTTTTTTAACTACACTGAACAATTTGATAAGATTCACGTCGCATTTTTAAGGTGCAACGACAAAATACTTTTTCCAAAACTCAAAACATGAAGTTAAAAATCGACCATTTTATCTACAGGGTGTCCCGAAATTAATGCAACAAACTTTGTGATCACAGATTCTTATGACAAATTTAGAGACCCCCTTATATGTCAGAAACCTGTTATATGAGAATCACTAAATTTCGTACAGGGGTTTTATGACATGTGGAATCTGATGGTGCTACGCTTTTTGGCGGGAAACTCCCTTAAAACTATTTTTCATTGGCCGCCTTGTCTGGAACCAAAAATATTTGGTCCCATATTTAAATTTGTTAAAAATTATTAGTCCGCTAGAAAGCCATTAAATTTAAAAACTTTTTTATCGCTTGATACTTTCTTCGTAAAACGCAATGATTTCGAGGAAAATGTCAAAATGTGATCGAATGCATATCGTGATTTGCCATTTTCCTCAAAAATATTGCGTTTTACGGAAAAAATATGAAGTGACAAAAAAGTTTCTAAATTCAATGGCTTTCTAGCTAACTAATAATTTTTGAAAAATTCAAATTTGCGACTAAGTTTTTTTGGTTACAAATACAAGGGGGCCCATGAAAAATTGTGTTCCCCCGCCAAAAAGCGTAACACCATCAGATTCCACATGTCATAAAACCCCTGTATACCAAATTTAGTGATTCTCGTACAACAGGGTTCTGAGATATAAAAAAGACTATTCTTAGGGGTAGATTTCAGGGGGCTGTAACTCCAAAAGAGGGGGCCACTTGGAAAAAAGAAAAAATACGGGTCCCCTAAATTTGTCTTAAGAATCTATGACCAAATTTTGTTACATTCATTACGGAACACCCTGTACATCTACAACCGGCCACAAAAAATCATTAGATTTGAATCACAGGAAAGTAAGTTCACTAAACTTACTCAAAATTTTTCATTAAATTTTAAATCGGTTATTAGTTCATGCAACTTTACGTTGTTGCCATCGTGAGTAAGGGCTGTATTGTGTTATGTCAAAATATATTGGATGAAAATTTTTTTTTCAACTTGAAACGTTTTAATCATGCATTTTTATCAAATTAAAATTGATTTCTTGATTAAAAAAATCTTTTTTATCGATTGCAACTTTTCAACCCTTGAAAAATACCCCTTCTTTCGAAAATAAAATGAAAAACTATTATTGAAAGAGTAGAAACATAAATAAACATTTATTCCCTTATTATAATATAGTATAGTACTGATTTATTCGAATATACACATAATAAATACGTATATATATACAAAAAAGATCTAAATGCTTCAAAATTCTTGTTTGAGCTAAATTTTCCTAAAATTATCACCTATACACGTGTTTATTTTTTTGACGATAACTTTCTTACTTTTTAAGATTTTTAATCGCACAAAGGCTCATTTTGCAGGGAATTGTAAGGACTATGTGAACTGTTGAGTTGATCTTTTTTAAGCCCTTCATTTTTAAGTTTGAAGGGTTTAAAGGGCTCGAAAAGGGTGGTTTTCTCATTCATATGATAACTTAAAATGGCGATATCTCGATTAATATTAATTTTAGAGGAATAAAAAATAAAGCAAAATCTTCAGCAAAAATAAAGCAAAATTTTTTTTTACTCTTGTATTTTCGTACGCCCTTTAATTTTTAAGTTACGGCGTAAAAATCGAATTTTTCAAAAATTAACAAGTTTTTTTGAAATCATGCTTTGTAAGTGGGCCAAAGACCCAGAACATATTCTTAGAACATAAATGAAGAAATCTGTAAATGGATTGCATTTAATAAAGGCACTGATTTGTTTATTAATTTTTTCTAAAAAAAAAAAATGAGATTATCATGTTATTTCAATCATATTTCCATTAATTTTGATTCTAAAGACTTTTAAAACAGCTCATTTTAAAGGTTTTTCAAAGTACTTTAAAAAAGGTTCAAATTGTTTTTTTTTTCCTAATATTTATGGTTTTGGCGTTATTTAACGTTAACTGGTTACAATTTAGTTTTTAGCTAACATATAATAATATTTAAAAATCCATAACTCGGTTTATATTGCAATTAGAGAAAAACGAAATAATGCCATTAGATTTGTTTTTTATTACCTTTCTTTTTGTTCATTACAACTTTTTCGTTAAGTTATTTGCAAGAAACTGTCCGAAATCAAGCACTTTTTCAGTAAAAACTCAACATTTTCAATGACGAATTACTCGGAACGTATTGGATTATCCAAAAAACTTTATATAACATTTGTTACTTAAAATTAACTCCTCTATCGATTCCTGTGGTTATTTTTGGCGTAAAAATTTCCACCCACAAGAAGGGGTGAGAACCACCCCCAGGGCAAAAGCACACTTCGGCACTATATAAGTTTTGTTCCTTGAGGTATTCCCCACATTCACTCAAAATTTCACGTCAATCGGTTCAGTTATAAAGAATTCGGAGGTAAAAACCCTGAGTAACTGGACTATTATTTTAAATGTGACATTGAGAAAAATTGAAAAAAATGCAGATTTGAAAAACGGCACTCATTTAAAGACAAAAATCTTTATGCGAAATTTCTGCAAAATTTTTATGCGAAACTGCAGAATTTTTAGAAAAAATGTTTTTTCAAAATTTTCCAAAATCAATTTCCGTCATATAGAAGGTAATAAATAATGTTATCAATTAGTTCAATAGTTTTTGCGTAATCGTGTACACCAGTTTCAGAAATATAGTTTCGAGAAAATCGCATTTAAAGTTTCAACACCTAAAAAACCAATGTTACTTGTCCGAAAACGGTTAATTCTCCTACAAATCTGGTTCACGAATATACCTGCTCCTGTGTGCTCTTGCTTCTACCTGCGGTGAGCGCTCCGAACCCAAGTGGACATGCACAATGTTTAGGGCTATAACCTATAGAGTTTTTCGAATTTCCCTTTCAAACTTTGAGAATATTCTTTCCAAACAGTTCTATCGTTTAAAAATATTAAAAAAAAAATTGATTTTCTGATTGTTATAGTTGTATAACCCCTTTAAATAATTTATTCTATCACCTGGTGAAATTTTCACTGTTTTAAACAGCCCTAAAATATATCCAACACATGGCAAAAAAGAAAATAAAAGAAACGAAGAAATCTTCTGTTGAAACTACATTTTCATTATTTCACATTAAAAATAAATAAATTTGACACTAACATTTAACATGATTTTATTTGATGTTTCTAGTAAACTATAGTCTTACGTTCTGGTTTATTTCAGATGCCCATGCCCAGAGTCAAATCACGAGACTGTCATGGGTGGATAATCAAACGCTTGTATCCGTCGGCCAGGACTGTAATACCAAATTGTGGACTATCACCCCATTCTAATAACTTTTTACATTTACACATCCTTACTGTCTTCAGTGTTATTATTTATTTTTTGTCTTATTAATTTCCAGCATTTAAAATCAACTTATTGTGATTCATTAACAATTATTTAATTTATATTTAAATATCTGTGCTTTTTTACCTCTTACTTTATACAGGGTGGCATACAAATCATTGGTTGATATAGCACATTAATTTAGAAGGTGCAATTATATTTTTTACACTACGAAAGCAGGTTTTGTCAATTTTTAAGTATCTGGAAAGCAGACTATTAACATATTTTTCAACGATTGTGTGAATATTCCTGAAGGGGATGTATGTTTATACCTGGGAGTGTTATAAAAATTAAATATGAAATGCTTTATCTACAAATGAAATAAAAAAATCCCAAAAACGTAGTTTTTTATTTAAAAAAAAAAACAAAAATGGTCTAAAACCGTTTATTTTAAAAATTTCGCTATAATCATAAACTGTCTGTCTTTTTTCGTTTTCGAGTGTGATACTCTTCTGGATGTCGATAAGATACATGTTTTCGTAATGCATCTCTACTTCGAGACACGTGTGGACAAGACTGGCAAGCGTGGTAGGCCTCCTCATGAGTTTCCATGTGAACTCGTAAGTTGTACTGGTTGCTGAGGTATTTCCCGCAAAGAAAACATTTGCATGTCTCCGATGAGTCTTTTGGAGGATTTTTACGAGGAGATGGAACATAAGATTGATCATCGTATTTAAAGGGATCATGCTGCTTTGCCACTAAAAATAAGCATTACGTTTTTATTTCTAAATGTACTTGCTGAACCAATTACAAGTCTGTATAAAAAAGTTATTCTGCATTATAAGTCAATGAAATTTGATTTTGGGATATAAGGGATGCTGATTCAGGCCATGTACTCTGATTTGAAAAAAAATCTCTAAATGAGTTTTTCATAAATCACTTTTTTAAAAATGCAGCAGGACATAGGTTGCCAACTAGATCTTCATAATTGGTTCAACAAGTACATCTAAAAGGCAACTATACAGGGTGACTAACAACTTATCCAAAAAAATTTGGAAATAGATGTGTGAGAAATGAAGTCAATATCGTAAAAAAAAATTCTGTAAAATCCTTATAGTTTCCGAGAAATAAATTGTGGTACATTCAACCATTACATAGCTGGACAACTGTAGTCTCTACCGTCATTTGCAATCCGCGTGGAGAGCCACGTTGCCTCAGCGACTCCAAATACTGAAATCCGATTTTACAATCGTCGTTGCGATAGTGTTTACTGTGGTGGTGTTTACACTAGTTTTTTTGGTAGTTAGTGTCAAAAATGGCTTGCGTGACATTTGTATTATGGTGAAGCAAGACAACATTTGTGTTTACACGTCGGTGGATAAAATTTTGAACAGTTGTAACATCAGGTATGTCAAATTAATTTATTATTTAAAATCACAAATTAATTTTATTAATTAATAATAACAATAACGCCAAAAGCAGTTCTATTCTCTCCTTGCGAAAGTTTTTGTCTGTTTTTATCACTTTGCCGGCCGCATTGTGCAGTTCAGGTTTTACAGTGGACCAGTTTCCAGTGCCGTGCAGAAGTGTATTTTTAAATCATTTTCAAGCTGCACTTTTTGATTTTTTCTTTACAAAATTATATTTGTAAGAGTCCCCTGTATGTCCATATATAAGAGTTTCATACATTTTTTGCGAAGTGATTATTAAAATCGCTTTCATTAAGAAAGTATCGAACATGATAACAAATGACAGCAAAATTTGTTCCGAAACTGCTGAATTTTCAGTAAAAACAGCATCGTATAATCATCACTGAACAAATGCCTATTGAACTCGTTGATAACCCAGAGTTGCTCAAACACGTTACAGCTGGTGACGAAACGTGGGTATAACGTGGGCTCAATCGTCTCAATGAAAATTTTCTGAAGAGCCAAGACCAAAAAAAGTACATCAAATCCGATCAAATGTGAAGGCGCTTCTGTTTCCTTCGATTACAATGGAATAGTTCATCATGAATTTTTACTGCCTGTTCGTACAATTAACATGAAGTACTACCTACAAGTTTTGTGCAATTTGCAGGAGGCAATAAGGAGAAAACAACCTGAACTCTAGATAGACAACTCATGGATTTTGTGTTCCACCAGTGTTTCTCAAAATTGAAACTACGTTGGCATAAGCGTAACAGATCCCAGGGGGGCGAAGGAGATGGAATGAAAATTGAAGATTAAATAAATATCTTCTGAGAAAATTAACAGTTCTCGATACTTTTTCATCAAACCTCATATAAAAAAAATGCATTCAAATCGTGCATCCCAAAAAATTTTTAAGAGGTAGTATTCTTGTTCTTAGTGGGCTCCACTGTGTATATAAAGTGTGACCTTCTGATAAAATTGTACAAGTGTATATCCGATTAAAAGTAAGAAAAAAATTTCTATAATGCAAATGCTACGTTTTTGAAAATCAAGGTGATTAAGTTTTATTCATTTTTTTAGATATTTTTTAAGATAACTGTTCTCATGTATTATATTCAACACTTTTTTAAGAATCCACAAGACATAGGAATTGCCCTTGGAATTTTTTGTTACCACAACACTGACTCTTGTTTAGGAAAAATACAATTCAATTTTATTTTTGATCTTTAATTGTTTGAATTTTATCAATATTTGACATAGCATGGTCATATTTTCGTGTAATTTTACTGACAGAATATTACAATTACAACATTCCATAGAATGCGACATTGCTTTATTTTTAAGTGAGACATTTTATACAGAAAGGCCACTTTTCTAGCAAAAAATTCTGAAATGAAATAAAATCGAAGCCTACATTAGAATTTTGCACACTTATTCAGCTTTTCATTCTTGATATTTTATTACATCTCATCCAAAAGTGTCAATCTACTGGTGAGAAAGAAATCAGATTATTCTAAATTTCCAAGGCTTAACCCAGATTTTTACAAATTTTAAATCATGGAAGATTTTGTTGAATCCAAGAAGGCCATTATTCAGCACTAACTTTTATCTTTTACGAAAGTCTTTTCTTTTCACCTACCACACCACACTGTATATAGGTACTAATGGAGACATATGAACATTTTTTGTGAATATTATAATTACCTGGCACAGTCTTTTCATGGAAATGTGTACTTTGAGAATAAATCCTACTCTCACTACATAAATCTTGAATAGGAACTCTATCGTTGCTTTGTCTTTTTAACTCAATACTTTCAGTTTGTTTTGGTTCTTTAAGTCTTACATTGTAGTTAAAATTATCAAATCTTTCTTCGTTCGATATTTTTTCATGTATATAATCTGTTTCGTTTGTCATCACTTCGTTTTGTACTTGTTTTTCAGGTACCTACAAAATAATGCAATTCATAAGTAATCCCATACAACAGAAAACTGTGATGTTCAATTAATAATACTGAGTCATGGCAGATGCAAGATAAAAGATAAATAGAACAAATGTATCAGCAATCGTCCGGTTAAGTAAATTATCAAATACAAATTTTTGTGATCGCTACTTTCTTGAAGTATTTACTCGGTAAATTTCGCAAAATTATAAAATGTTCTAATCATATAATGTATTTTAAAAATTGTTAAAACAGACGAACACTGGGTTATTGACAATTACTGGTAATACCTTATGTCCGATACGTATTAATCCTTACCTTCATATCACATAACCCTTGGATCTTAAGTAATTTCGCTACAGACAGTAAACTTGGCAGTTGTTCTTGTGAAACTACACACTGACCCCTATATACAAATGATAAGATGGCTCTAATATCATCGATACTCACATTGTGTAGAACTACGACAGGGTGCGTAGTCTTCATCTCCTAAAACCAAATAAAATATTTCATAAATGCGTCAGTATTTAAGATAAACATTATGTATGTAGTACTTTTAACAAATCAGTACATACATTTAATATATTTCGCTAGTAAGGTATGAACATTCACTTTTCAGTAGTCATTTTTAAATTTGCCTTATCCTAAGAATTGTTGAAATATTTCCAAAAATCATAGTTTTTGAATAAATATATTCACATACTAAAATATTGTGATGATCCAAAGAGTACTTAGTGAATAAGCTGTTATTATCTAATGCATGCTTATGCTTCTCTTATAATATAAATCTATTTTCAGAATAAATCCCACATATAAAAATAGCACAAGAATGTGATATATTTATAGCTCTCCAAAAGCGATCAGTAAAACAAGAGGAATATCTTATACTTACTTTACCTGAAACAATTGAAGAAAATAAACACTACACATAGCAAGTATGATTTTATGTGCCTTCACATGTTGGGTGCCCACCGATAAAGTAACATCCGTTAAAATATCACTTTCGAGTAAACACGGCAAATTGTGCACTAGAGTTGTTTCGTGGTAATGCCATCTTAAAACAAATTGTTGGTCAGACATTTTCTGTGGTCAGTGTGATAAGAAAAAAACATGCTAGCCAAGTGGCCCAGAATTGTCCAGCTGTCTATTTTTAAGTTTCCTGGAGAAAGGAACAGGTGCCAGAAAATTTGTTAGCCTATTAATTTATTTCTCCAAACATAGTTTTAAAATAAACATGGCAGCAATTCAATTAATGTACTGCATTGAATTTCTTATAATTTTTGAGGTATTGTTCTATAAAAAAAAAAACATTTAATTATATACACTCGTGTAGACAGTTGTGTAAAATAGAAATAAAAATTTTTGTTATTCTCAAATGTTTAAAATCAAATAAAAATAGAAATTATGAGTATTGAAAATATTCGTCCATATTTAGCAGTTTTGTTTTTTTTTTCAGCTTGTACGTAAGTATATACACATTATATGTTAGAGTGCCAAGTATGTATATTCTGATGAGTATTTTAAGTAAAAAAAAATCCAAAAGCATATGTCCTAGGCGGCCTACTTTTTGAGATACAGGCTCTTGAAATTTTTTTAAATCTATCCTCGCAAACATCTCAAAAGATATTTAACACAGATTAATACAACTTTCAGTCATATTGGATATTTGGTTTGAGCTAGGCATTTCATCTTTTGAAAAGAACACGTTATCACATTTTCCTATTATTCATTTAATTAATGGGAATATGTAACATACTTTATAATTAAAAGGTTAAGTTTTCGAGTTTCAAACTGGCTGATGGGGCACCCTATAGTAGGAAGAGACACTGCACTCATCGAAGTTTACGATTTAAAAAAGATTTTCTACATATTCCTAGATATATGGAGTGTAATTAAAATCATCATAAATTAACAATCAAAATTTCTATATTACATGTCCAGAAATGTTTTGATTCCAATATTCAGGCTGTTACAAATTCGCTTCTCACAAAAGGGATCTCGGAAACGGTAAGACATACGAAGTAGCTTAAAAAAGGGCAAAGTTGTGTAATCAGGCGACCAACATTATGCCTCTAAAAAATCAAGACTAACATAATTAGTTTTCGAAATATTTGAAAAAAACCGAAATTTTGGAAAACCGTTTTTGTTTTATTTCAGCCTTGTTTGAGGTGATATTGAAAAAAGAAGAACACTTTTTCGAGGCAACTTTTTGCCCTCTATCGAATGGCATAATCAATTTTTATTTGTAACGTTTCGTCTATCCAGGAACAAACTCAAACAAAGCTGAAATTAATCAAAAACGGATTTCCAATATTTCGGTTTTTCTCAAATATTTCGAAAACTAATCATGTTAGGCTTGATTTTTTAGAGGCATAATGTTGGTCCCCTGATTACACAACTTTGCCCCCATTTAAGCTACTTCGCATCTCTTACCATTTCCAAGATCCCTGCAGTGAGAAGCGAATTTGTAACAGCCTGTATAGTGTTCAAAAAGTGAATGAAAATATACGATCTATTTCAAGTTACAAAAAATAATTAAGGGAAGCCATAGTAATAACTATTTCTATTTTAAAAATAACTTGACGTTTTGATACCCATACGTGATCTAATATTTTATCAATTATCTCGAAAATGTGTGTTCTAGTAACATGCAGCAAAAATATATTTTTGTAAAGCCTCTAGTACCCCATCATGATAGGAAATACCTGGAATTATGCCCTTTAAATAACAAGCCTGCATCTTGTACAAATGTTTGTGGACAATCAATAATTAAAGTTGCATGCCAAATTTGAACAGAATATCTTGAGCAGTTTATTTTATTTAAATAAATTAGTTTAATTTTTTTTTTAATCTTAATGACATGTCTCAAAAATGAAGCATTTCCAGAGACATGTTCACAGGAACTTTTAAATTTATACAAATATTTCAGCTATGCCTCTATAATGAAACACATGAATATCATTGACTCCATGTAATGATATCCGTTGCAGGTCACAGTTAACCATGTATCCAACAAAGTTGTTCCCATTTTGCACATGATTTTAACCAACGTTATTAATTTTACAACTACTTTTATTGTTCTCATTAAAATTACCAAAATTTCTCAGTATATCTTATATAAAACTTTTCAAGTTAAAACAAGTTCTACTACTATAAACACTGAGTTAATTTTATTTTTTTAATATTTCTTAACATTAATCATTTGAGAGCATTTAAAATTCATTAATTTTGTCTATTTAATTTTAATGCCCAATAACATAATCAAAATTTGTTATGAAGGGCAATATAAGATTTGACTTACCAAAAACAATTTAAAAAAAATGGTTACCAATAAAATAACAATGAGAAGGGCTGAGGGGAAAAATGGATTATGCGAAAAAATTACTTGTAATGGTTTGCCTGTTGCTTTGTTGTGTGATTTCTTTTTTTTTTTTTGTCTAAGGATATGCAGTCATTCAATAGGTTGCTAGCCAATTTTCTGGATTTGTGTCCTAGAAGATGTCCCTGTGTATCAATAAGGAATAATCCGTTCATTTCTCGAAATACATTGTCAGTAGTACCGATAGTCCCGTCAGTAGAAAAAAACATTTTCCAAAAAAAAAAAGGTACTATGTTTTCATCTGAGCAATAACTATAAGACCCTTTTTTTGGATCTTACCGACTGCGTCAGTGACGTTCACCTTCTTGCAGTCTTAAGAAAGCCCCTTTGCTTTCTGAGTTTTTTTGGACTCCCAACCGAAAAAAAGCTTACATAATTGACAATTGGAATGATCTTTTTTTAGTAATTGTGTCTTATTTAACTAACAGCACAAAACTGAGGTAGTTTAATTCTTTTTACAGCTTTTTGTCTTCACTGATTTGAATAAAACTGAACTGAATGAAAAGTAAAATCTGAATGTTATACAGAAAATGTAGAAAATATGTAGTATGTTATACAGAGTGATTCACTTTTTATGATTAGGACTTTAACCATCGTTAGATATCGTTCATATAAGCTCTTGAAAAAACATATTTTTTTTGGTTTTTATTTATTTTTTCTTAAACTATGAAAGCCATTTGTTTTATATTTAGTAGAAAGTGTATGAATGAAAGGCTTTTATCGATTTTAACAAATTATTAAGTAAGGGGCTCTGATAACCCCTATTTTTAATGTAATATATAAAATGAATATTTTTTTTATATTGCAGTTTTACAGCAAAAAGGTCTTTCTATTTTTAAATGAAATGCTTGGTTTTTGAGAAAAAGGGTTTTTAATATGGATTCATTACAATATTAGGTAACAGGGTAATGAAGTATGTACAACACTATTTAAATTTATAATTAAGAAAGGGTCCAGAATGTATCAGTTATGTGTTAATAATATATTAAAGTCACATATTTTGGAAATGAATTATGCAGAACCTGGTACCGGACTCATTGCTTAGCCACCATGATCGTCAGATCTAAATCTCATGGATTATTTAGTTTGGGGATTTATTAAAGAAATGGTGTATAGTTCACCAGTCTGTAGTCTTGAAATGTTAAGAAAAATTGAAAATAATTGTGAAACTCTTAAATACAACCCCAATATGATGAGGTAAGCAGTTCAAAGCTTAATTAGCCGATGTGAGAAATGCATTGAGGTTCGAGGACAACATTCAAACATTTGTTGATACTTTTTCTTTTGTTTTCTATTGTTAATTGTTATTTCTGTTTGTTTCTATTTTACTCTATATTAGTTTATTTGAAAACTTTACCATTTCACATGTAATGAATCCATAAGAAGCCATTTTCCTCAAAAATCAAACATTTCATTTAAAAATAGTAAGAGACCTTTTTGCTGTAGAATAAACCACAATTTAAAAAAAATGTATTTGTTTTGAAAAATTTCCAGTGGCGTAGAAATTATATTAAAAATAGGAATTATCAGAGCCCCTTACAGAGGCCTAAGATTGATCTATTTTCATTCGTACACTTTACACTAAATATAAAACAAATGGCTTTCATATTTTAAGAAAAAAATAAATAAAAACAAAAAAATGTTTTTTCAAGAGCTTATATCTCTAAAAGAAAGCCTTTGGAAGAAAAAGTATACTACAAAATGGCATTATTTTGACCAGATCTATCGATGGTTGAAGTCCTAATCATAAAAAGTGAATCTCCCTGTATATGATATGGGTAAGAAAAGAAAAATTATGGACAATAGACAGTAGATCCTTTGTAAAATAAACAAGGGTGTGCAAGATAAGCGTTAAACTTGGAAAAAATTATTGTTAGCATGTCGGCACTTTTGCTATTCTTTTTCACTTATGAGAGGATAACATGGGGATGGAAGAACCCACTATATCTGTATAACACAACATAATTACGCAGCTGCACTTGTCTAATCCTCGTTTATATCACTGGAATATGAATATTGACTGTACATCTGAAATGATATGCAATTTGTCAGTGCCATTTTTTTAAAGTATTTGTAATGTTTAAAAATGACTCATTTAACTCATATTATTAATTATACCTGCAGCTAAAATATATGTAAACATTTAAGATTCACTCTATATATCGTAAATATGAGAACTTCGAGCACAAGCAATGTTTTAAATGAGAAAATTTTATACTACACAATTTAAAATATCAAATAATTACAATTATCTTTTTGTAATCCAATACTGTAATCTTTAATTCAACTGCATGAAACTGTTGATAAATAAGTTGTTAAGCCAATTGATTTTTTTTAATAATATATATATTTTTTATTTATTCGTTTTTTAGTCCAGTTGAAAAAATATCTTATAAAAATATATGTTTACAATATCATAAAACACAGCATGCCTGTTAAACATGTTATGTTTCTTCCATCTGAATTAAAACTTTTCCAACATTTTTTCTATCACCTAGCAATTTAGTGGCTGCAATAATTTCCGACATAGGCATTACTGAATGTATTTTGGGGTTAATCACACCTGTTCTTAGAAGATCAAAAATATAATTCAATGCATTTTTTGTTGTTTTTGGGTCTGACTTAGCGAGTGTACCCAAATGCAAACCTCCAACGAGCCGATTATTGGTAATAAGAGTTTCTGGATTTACATATTTTGTGCTCCACCATGCTTTAAGTAGACTAAACATTGAGAGCTTTCTTTCATTTGTAATTATGTTATTAGCTCCTAAAACAAACGTGTTATTCAGTAAAATTTATTTTTATTTTTTTTACCTGTAAGTACAATTCTTCCCAAAGGATTTAAAATGTTCTGCAAATATGTGAAAGTAGGTCCAATTTCGTTTGCTATAATTAAATCAAATTTTTCTTTTATTATTTCAGCTTTAAATGACTCGTTTGAATAAAATATATCAACTCCGTTTTCTTTTGCTTGTTGTTCCTTTCCTTGCGAACCTATTCCAAAAATTTTAACATCTTTTATAGTTCTAGCTAACTGCGTTGCTGCGCAACCTACACCTCCTACAGATTTTAATATTTACAATTTCTATATAAACAAGATCATCAAATTTTTTACCAGCACATGACATTATCAAAACTTTTTCATTCTCCTTTAAATTACCCAAACCAATTAATGCGAAGTAAGCTGTTAAGTAGTTTACAAAAATTGCTGCTCCTATCTTGGAGTCAATATATTCTGGTAACGGGTAACATTTTTCAGGACTTACACGTATTACATCTCGATACATACCACCTTCATAGTCATAACATATTACTTTTTGTCCTATCTAAAAGTAAAATACAATTTTAACTATATGTATTAATTTAAATGTTAAGTTTGACTACCACTAAATCAGTTTCTGTTCCCACAGCGGTTACTGTACCAGTGCATTCCATTCCTAAAACAAATGGCAGTTTTTTGTCTAACATAAGCCCCTGCCTTGTATATAAATCAGCAAAATTTAAGCCTCCACAATCTACTTTTACTTCAATAAGTCCATCCAATTCTGGCAAATCAAAGTTTTCAATCTAACAAAATATGAATAACGATAAATTTTAACTATTTACAATAGGTATATGTAGGTATTTTATCTTACCAAAAGACAATCATATCCTCCAAATTTCTTTACAATAACAGAGCGACTTTTTTCGGCTTTCATTTTTGGAACATTAAAATTAAATATAAACTGTGAGAAATAATTTTATTGCAAATATAATAAGTTAAATGACTAAATAAATAATAATTAATCCCTGTATTTACCACATACCACATTTACTAAGGCCACAGAATATATAAGAACAGCTAGACATAAAATATTAAATTAATAAAATATATTATTTATCCATATATCTGTGAAGAAATAGTGATTCGTTTGTGTTTGTGGTACTGGTAAAAGTGGTAAAATATTTATTTGACGATTTTAAGTATGATGAAAGTGTTATTTTATTTATGGTATATGGACTAACACTTTACAACTTTATCAACTTGTAAATTTGAAGGTTGAGGTCAATAACCTTATGGCCTTGACTATACTACGTAACTTATAGGGTGTTTGTAAATAAGTGCGAAATATTTTAGGGGGTGGTTGCCGAAGTTATTTTGTGAAAAAAAGTTCACATAAATGTAGGTCGAAATATACTTTGTTTCCGAGATACAGAGTGTTTAAATTTTAATTTTTTATTGATTTTTATTAATTATTTCAGTTTTAAAGATATTTACTGGAAATTTAAAAACGCTTTGGAGGGATAAATGTGCATTTTTTGGGGTGATCAGAATACTTGCTCCAGTGGACTGTGGACAACAGCCCATAACTTTGACATTTTCAACAAAAAATTTGCAAGTATAGTACAAAAATATATTGATAAAATAATGTCAAATTTTAATCAATTTGTTCCACATAAAAAAAATTATGAGAACCGCCTGAAAATCAGCCTCCTACTGTGGTTTCCCCCTTAAGGGCAGCATTTTTATATACAGGGTGATTCACAAATGATGACCAAAAATGAAACCTTGTAATCTTTGGTGAATTTTAAGGGGTCTTTCCTGTAATGTTTTCATCTAGGACGCTTCGCTAAAAAGATACATAAACTTGGTTTTTTAAGTTTTATTCGAAAGCAGTGGCATACTATTTTATTTAGAAAAATATCCCGCCACTGGAGCATGTAAATTTTAGGAAAAGCCTCAGATTCTGTGGCCAATTTCAAATTATTTCACTTACTAGTTTTTAAATTATTTAAAAAAATTAAAAATATTTTTTGAAGTTTAACAGCCTGTATTAATGAAGCGTCCTAGATAAAAACTTTATAGGAAATACTCCCCTTAAAATTCACCAAAGAATACGAGTTTTCATTTTTCGTCGCCGTTTATATAATATAAATATAAAAATAAAAGTGCTATATTAAATGGAGGAAACAAAATTAAAAAAATTGACATTAAATGTAATTGTTCAATATGAAATTTCATTAAATATTTGTAATTTTTTTCTTTAAGCATATATAAAAGACCAATATATGAGTTTATAATAAAAAAATTCACATATCTCAAAAAATGTTAAAAATAGAGAAAATCTCTGTTGAAATTAGTAGTGTCTTATGCTCAGAAATTGGATTTTTTTCAGTATCTCAGTTCTGATTTCTGGAAAAGTTTCAGCAATATATTCCGCAGCATTTTTTATAATTTCTTGAATTGGATACTTCCAACCATGGGCAGGGGTGTGCACAGCCCACCCTAAAAAGCCCGGTACCCATCCCAGAAAAAAAGATGTAATTATCATCTTTGTCATATCGGTAAGTCTGTGACTGCATGACCAGTTTTTATTTTGGTGAAACCTTTTTTTTTATTTTAGAGGCCTCCGTAGAGCTTACAGCCCTGGGCCCCCCCTAAGCAAAAATCATCCAGTATATTAATGACTTAATGGTTTAATTCTCATATTAAAATTCTAAATTGTGCTAAATTGTAGACAGTGCTTCATTTTCAAATGTAGATACATGTGATGTGTTAGGCTGCCGAGGAATGTGATTCCAATGATGTATAATTTTAAAGAAATTATTAAATATACCACAAACGGATATGTCGATTTTGGATAAAACTAGATTATCCTTACAAATTTACTCACCTTGGTATATCAAATGTCCAACTGGTAGGAAGGCTTTTTTTATTTATACTAATGCATTCGACAATTCTGCCCTCATAACCTACTACCACCTGTGTACACTTTTTTCTTTTTTTTTATCATGAGACCAGAGCTTTCACTAACAAGACTAGTGGCTCTTGCAAAAATTCTACTTACGTAATATTGTAACAGTAACATGACAAAATCAGTAAAATCACTGAAAGTGCTAACATTATTGGAAAATGAGATACACCCCCCGACAAAACACTAACAACTGTTATGAGCATTAGTAAAATCAATTACTATTGTCACTATCACTATCATTGCTGCCGCCTAAAGGTATGATGATAAATGGTTTTGTTATAACTTCAACTCTTGTATCGAGGTGACACATTCGTCGTTCTTTTTGTAGATGCATAATACATTTATTTCATATCTTTTCAGTTACCTGACTGATAGTTCCCAGCAAAAGTACTTCTAATTCAAAAGTTGTCATTTCACGCCATTGAAGTTTTTATATCCACCCAGATCCAATACATACTTTATGTATCGGGCATTTTCTTTTTGTACAATTGTGTGTAAGGTGTATTATCCATGACAATCACTGCACCAGCTTCATTCAATACGAGGCAAAATAGATGCAAACCATTTTTTAATTGCACTCCACTGTGCACATCCTCATGATAAGTTCTTCTTCTTCGCGACTACAACTCATGTAAACCATTATCCAAAAATCCGCATTCATTTCTAATATGTGTATTTATTACTCAACGTCCTTTTTTTTTGGGGGGATACTTTTATTCCCATAGAAAATAATTCTAAAAGTGTTTTTCATCTGCTGTTGATATTTAAATCTTACCATATATTGGAGTTATATCCTAAAGAGTGACCGCAAAAAACCTGTGAATTTCGCCCGTTTTTTCACAATTCGCAGAGAATTAAAAAATATGTTTTTGGTCGCAAATTACTTGTCGTAAAAAACTGAAATGAGCATAACTTTTAGAGTTTTGAAAATATTAAAAATCACGAGTAATTTGAGACCAAAAACATATTTTTATCTAGTTTCTTTAGTTCTCTGCGAATTTTGAAAAAACTGGCGATTTTTGCGCTCACTCTTTATCCTTGTTTACTATGCAGAGAATACACAAAATTATTTTATCAGATTATGAATTTATTAAAATTGTTTTGTTTGTTTTGCAACTAACTATGTATAAAATAAATAATCCAATCCAAATTATTTCTTTGCGTGCTTTCTAGGACCATGCCATAACTTCAGGATGTTGTTCCTTGGGTCATTTTAGATCAAGAACTTTAATGACATAATGGTCTAAAATGGTTAGATGTCTTCAAATTTAAAAAACTATCCAATTTATTTGAATGTTCCTGAAGATATTCAAGGTAGATTGATGAAACTATGACTTATGATTTAACTGATTTAAAAAATCACTGAACTGACACTGACAAATTTCTCAAAAATCAACAGCAGAGATACTGTAAAATAATGTAATTCAGAACCCCAGAATTTCAATTTTAATTCACACCATTTACGTAACGTAACGTAATTTCCAGTGAGAAACACTGGTGGAACGCCGTTTTAGGTATCGTATTGAGCACGGTTTACGATTTTGCCTTTATTTCATTTAAAAACGTCCTTTGAGTATCCTTTAGAGTTTGGGAAATAGAAAAAAGTCACAGGCGTTATGTCCAGAGAATAGGATGGTTGTGGCATCACAACGATGTTGTGTTTTGCCAAGAATTGTTGGATAAGCAAGACAGTATCCGCCGGTACGTTGTCCTGGTGCAAAATCCATGAGTTGTCTCTCGTATTCTTGTTAACTGTACGACAACGCAATAAAAATTTGTGATGAACTATTCCATTGTAGTCAAAGAAAACGATTAGGACCTTTACATTTGACCAGATCTTTCCTCATCTTCGATATTTTCTTGGCCAAACGAAAACGTTTGTACCATTAATAAACTCTGTGATATAGTATCGTCGCCAAAGGCCTTCTTTGACATTTTGAATGCTTCGCTGCTTTTAATTCCGTTTTAACACAAAATATCAGACAAACTGTCTGACCCGACATTTAACCACACAAAAAACCACCAAAATCATTGAGACAGGTACGTCACTGGCAGTGCTACACAAAAAAAAGAATCAACTCGATAGACAAGATACATGCGCAATTTGAAAATTCCTGTTACTTTTTGATCAAACTTCGTATACTGTTAAAATGTTAAGGTCCTAAATCTACCCATTGAAGTTGGGATGGTTGGTCATTTGGTCACCCTTAGAATAGTGAATTGAAATCAACATTAGGGTTACCATTAGGAAAATATAAAATTAAATATTTTTCATAAACAACATTATAGTTTATCATTTTTATTTATAAAAGAGAGGTTAAACAACATTTAAGTAGATGTGAGGAAGCTAATCGATTTAGTATTTTTCTTATATTTAAAATTAATTACTATAAATCCAAAGTTTAAAAACATCATTTTTAGTTCAAAATAGAATCAACTTACATCTTTTGAAAATATTTCCTTTCTTAAAACTAAACTATGACACCAACTGTAACATTTAAAACATAAATATTTAGGACAAGTGTGAAAACAATGGGCAATACAATATTATATTAAGTACAACTACAGCTACTTTTCACAAATTACATTCAGAAAATACAATTAAGGATAATAAATAAAAATACACCATTACTACCGGAAATGTTCATGAAGAAATGTTAAAATGCTTTAGTGAATTAATTCATCAGAAAAAATTTGTTTTGATGAATTTTTGGTTTATATTGTTTTTTTCATTTCTTGTTATTATTTATATGTATTTTATCCAGGTTTTATTAAGTTTTTGGTCTGTCGAGGTATTATAATAATTATCTTTGATTTATATAGATTAACGGTATGTTTATGAAGATAATTTAACATAGGTCCCTATGGTTCTTAGTATACCAAATAGAAAAAGAAAATATTCTTAGCCTTAAAATCTATTAAACACTTATTAAAGATGTTAATGTGCATTATCTAGCGACATAAAGTTGCGTCAATCTGTGACAGTGAAGGTGCAATTATCTTTAACTTTCTTCTGTACATGGGATCTTCAGCAACAGGATTCTTCTCTAAGTATACTGTTGCCAATTTTTTGAGAGCAGACAAATTTTCCACACAACCCCAATCGCTAACTTCATTATTGTTCATCTAAAATTATGTTTATTAAGAAAAATATGTTGATTATCAACACCTTAATATAGAAGTTGTTTTAAAAAAATTATAAAATTCTGAGAGTAATGGATTAATAAAAAATAAGATGATTTTTTCCTATGAATTATATATTTATCCCATACAACTTAGGCTTCCAATTCATGTATTCTTTTGAATGTAACATGTAGATTATATGAAATAACTCAGAATTTGTTTTTTTTATATTTTCGATATTATTTTGCTGTGTTTTAAAAAGTCTGCATTTAAAGGTGCATGCAAATTAATAAATATTTATGAGGTGGCATATAAAAAGTAACTTAAAAATTATTCAAGGGCAAGTATTTATATAGGTTGACAGCAAATGATGGAATCATACTTATAGGATGAAAGTAAACTGATTTAGATTAAGTTACATTAGCATACATTTGCTTCTTGAAAAATTACCACAATCACAATTTTTTTTGTTTCATTTTTATAAAATAACTCCCATCTCACATATTTCAATGAAATTTGATATATAAGGATTTTTGAGATACCTCAGTATGAATATGAACTTATTGTCTACATAAAGCATGGGGGTTGCAAATAGTAGTTTTTTTCCTATAATTTTTGCTGGTAGAGATTTTCATAAACACACGTTTTTTAAAACTTTATTTACTTGTCACTAAAATGTCAGTTCCAAATAAAAATGTATATGAAAATATTCTTAAGTTTAAATCAGGAAAATTTTTATTTTTAACACAATGTATTACACCTTGTACTTGTTTGTACAACTTTTCAGTGTAATAAATATAATTTCAAATACAATACTTTCTATTTGTTGTATCCACGCCCCCCTAAAATAAATATAATTTATGCATTCGGGTATTCCGTGCCAAATCACTGAGGTTGTGACCATTTTTAATTTTCCTGATTTTTTGGTATTATTTAGTATCCACTTTTCATGAATTTTTCCAAATTTTTAATTCAACCCCTCAAGAAGTTATGAGCATTTGAATATTTTTTTATTTTGTCTTTCAAAAAGCACTTTTTTGGTTTAAAAATAAAAAGCACTTCAAAAAACTATAAATGTATTATTTATATATATTTTTTTATAAAACTACATCTCAAAACGAACAAATTGAAAAACATTTTTTGATATCTAGTTTTTTCCAAGTATTTGAAAATACTTTACCCAAAATATTCAAATGCACGATTCTTGAGGGGTTGAAATAAAAATTTTTAAAAATTCATGAAAGCTACTCTAAATGGATATGGATATGTAATACCAAAAAATCAGGAAAATTAAAAATGCTCTGTTCACGACCTCAGTGATTTGGTATAGAATGACCCATATAAATTATATATGTTTTAATGTCCTTGTACAAATTTCCAGAACCCCACACTCCTGTTTTGTTTTGAAAATACAGGGCATTTAAGATAATTCAATTTCAAATGTTCTAAATAGCATATGTTGATAAATTTTCGTATTAATCTGATAAACAATATTTTCTAAAATCTAGAAAATTAAATCTACTCAAAAAAAATGGGTACTTTTTTAGACTTCAAAAGCATTTTAAAAAATTCTGTTAACATCTTGCATCTGGAAAACAGGACGAGAGATCCATAGTTCATAGAAAAATATTATTATTGTTTAATATCTATTACTTCCAGGATTTATGATTTGCAATATATTTTTCTAAAATATCCTATTTTTACAAAATGTAGTATATAGTAAGCCAATTTCCGCACTATAAGGGAATTTCTCATATTTCCTGAGAAGACATAAAAATAATAATCATGAGCCCTGTTTCCGAGAAAATTTACACGGTGAAATTTCTTCTCTATATTTTGATTTAATTAAAAGACACAGTTTTTCATTTTTGTCATATTTTATGATATTGATAATAGTACCACTAGGACACCCAGTATTTGGATGTTACTTAAATATTCTGCAAATTCGATCTGTGCTTTTCTAAAAGTTTTTTCTATAATCTGAAATTACAAAATTTATACGTCAATAATTTTTTGGCTTTTTGAAATATTATAATGTATTGAAAATCGTATTTTTAACAAAAAAATTTCATAATTGTAATAAATTGTTTTGGAACTGAAAAAAAAATAGTTTAAATAAAATGAAAGATCTTTTTTCTCAGAAATACCATTGGTAAAGAAAAGTACTAATAAGGTTTGCAAAATACTCAATGTCGTCGAAATTCTGAGGGTAGTAATGGGACTTGGAAATATATCTTAAAATAATCTGTATAATTCTTAAAATAAATAAGTTTTTTTTTAAATAGTTATTACATATTATTGCAGGGTACATTGCTCAAAAGTAAAATAAAATTCCCTGACTTTTACTAATTGATGTTTATGCATTAAACTTTTTCCAAACTAGACTCCATAATCTTTTATACACAAAGAATCTTATAAAGGTTTCAACACCATAAATAGTTTTCTCTTTCAAGAACCCAGGGCTGGCTTTCACAAAATTTCCAGTTGCAAACATCAAATTCCCTGACTTTCATGGATACTTTTAAAATTCCTTGACTATTCCCTGTTTTTTATGAAGAATAATGAATTTCTCGACTTTTCCCGGTTGTCCAAACTGCTACTAACCCTGTATTAATTAGGCATCACTAAACTATGTTCAATTTTTCAGGACTGCCGTAAATAAATTTATCTAAGACTAATTATTAAAATCCTGCTAAAGTGACAATATTTTCTATTACAATAGATTGCATTATTGCTGACAATCCAATATTCATATATATATTCATATCAGTTTGATAATTATACATTCCATATTTCTTGCACTTATCATTAGGTTGAGTCACATTTGTAGTTTATAATTTTTAAAATAAACTTACATTACAAATGTTTGTAAATTATTCATATATTTTTTGTGTCTTACATTTTGATCATTTTATTTTATGGCAAACTGTTGTTTCTTAATTTTTTTTATATTATTACAGCTTGAGATATACATGTATTATCTATTGAAATCTGTTATAGCTGTTTTACATTGACAATTTATTGATGAATAAATTGACGAAGTTCATGAATTAATTCACGAATTTCAAAAATGTCACCTTTCCACTCATAATTGTAGTGATACAACAGCGGTACCGTTTTGACACATATATAAATATTAGTGTTTGTAAGTAACAAATCAGCAAAAACAATGCAAAACTAGTACGACGCCACACAATTATTTACATATTCCAATAACATAACCTCATTACTGATCTGAGGCTGGAAATCTGTTGGGTTGGTGTTGGTACCTCCGAACTTCACGAAGAAATTAACGAAAATTAGAACATGCTCTAATTCGTCAAGAACTTGATGGATAAATTCATGAAGTTATTTGACAGCAGATTTGGTGCATTACACTTGACCAATTTCTTGATGAAGCGACTTCATGAATTAATTGATCAATAAATTGTCAATGTAAAACAGCTATTAAAAATAAATAAATGGCAAAATTGGCATAAAACAATAGATAAAGTAGACAATGAATTTGTAATTTTTTCTACTCTAATTGTAAGTAACCTGAAAGTGTTATTTTTCTGGCAAATATAATTACAAAAAATAATATTTTGCTCCGTCTGATCATAGCATAACTTATACTTTTAAAATCATTTGATAGCATTGCACATTACAACCCTAGCTAAAATTATTAATTCACTTACCCAAAATTCTGTCAGCTCTGATAAATGCCCAATATTCTCGATTACCTTAATTTTATTTTGAGCTAGATCTAAAGTTTCAAGCTTAGTTTTTTCATTCAAATTTTCAATTTTCATAATTCCATTTTCTGATAAATAGAGCTCAGTTAACTCTTTTAAATTATCCAGATTTTCAATTACAGTTATTCTGTTACTTTGTAAACTTAAACAAGTCAAGTTTACCAATCCATCTAAATTCTTAATTTTTGTGATTTTATTTTTGCCCAAATATAGGTACTGAAGAGAAGTCAAACCATCTAAGTTTTCTATGTCCTACAATCAAATTATTAATCAGAATACTTCAGATGGAAGTTGATATAAAATTTTACTTACTCTTATTTTGTTATCACCAAGCTCTAAGAGATTCAGGTTTTCTAAATAATTTAAGTTCTGAATGTGGCTTATCTTATTAGAAGACAAAAACAGCTTTTGCAATTTTTTTAAATTCTCTAAACCTTCAATTTCTTTAATCCTGTTAAAGGACAAATCTAAAATCCTATAAAAATTTATAAAATACATACGAGTCTGTTAAAATTTATCTTACTCCAAATTTACCAAAGCTCCAAGATTCTCTATTTTGGTAATTTGATTGTCATATAATTCCAATTCTTTTAATGTAACCAATGTATCCAAATTTTCAATTTTAGTTATTAAATTCCAACGGAGATATAATCTCTCGATGCAAGTTAATGGTTCCAGATTTTGTAGTTTATCAATACGACCATGATTCAAATCTAATTCGAAGGTGTCTGGATCAATTATTACTATCTCATTAACGGTGGCTGCCGTTTCATTTTCAGATTCAGATTGTTGATCCACTACACTCGCAACTAAAAAATTATTCTTTACAGTTTTTCTCAGTTTGACAAATATAAATACATTAAAATCTTTTTGAAATTTGATGCTTATATCTAATATTAATGACAAAAGACCATATTTAAATGTGCGTATATGCAAGTTTTGTCTACAAGCGATTAAGTTATTTAAAACCAACTAGTAGACATCCAAGAATGAAAAAAATTATTTTCTGCAAAAGCAGCTAAGAACTTAAAGAAATGAATAAAATACTGTTAATTTAATAACACAGGTTATGTATTACCTTGTTCTTCTTGACCATTCTCTTCAAGATTGGGAACCGGCATTGTGAAGAATGTAAAGATGTCCTGAAAATTTAAAATTTAAATTACTGTTATTGTTTAATCTGGTCATAAATGCTCACCTTTAAATTATCAAGAGATAATCGAAAACCTAGGATGTAAGTTTTTAGGTAGTACTTGCCGTATTTGTGGTATTTGAACTACTGCTGCTGCACAGTGCGCACGCAAAACATATTTCGATACATTGCGCAAGTCATCGCAGAGTAGACGCCTTCATCTATGAAGTTTATACAAGGAGTGAAGTATGGAGTTTATATAGTTTATATTGTATTTATATGTTTTGTGGTTTATATGTAGAAGGAGTGCGCGCCATTATTCCATGGCTAGAAATTGGCCTCAATGATTTCGGATCGAGGGGGATTATCCTTCTTTATCTCGTGTAGGCCTGGAAGCCTTCGTAGGTGGGCCCCATCCGTCGTCTACCCCGACAGCAATTGCGGCCGGTGTAGGCGCTTTGCGGGACCTCCTTTTGTCCTGGCTGGGCCCCGCCGGCTAGGGCCCTTTCTTCTGGCGCTGTTCTTGCTTCGCCGGCTCGTCTGTGTAAATCCCGGGGGTGGTGTCATGTTTATGGTTGGGTAGGGTCAGGGCCCGAGAACTTATACTTGAAAATATGGGGACACTGGGAACCACGTGACTTGAGATGGATATACAAGTTGGGGAAAGAGTCTATAGATGTCGCCACAAAGATTTTGTAGAATAAATTTTGACAATTGCAATTATGAATCATTTCAAGTCATTCATGTTGTTTATGTTTATTGTTGGTTAGGTTTGGCGAGTGCTGGTGTGTGTTTTATTTGTGTTTTTAGTGTGTTTTATTAGATATTTCATTCACATTTATTTATATAACATAATAATGTCTGATCATCATATAATCACATTTTTTTATTAATAATAAAATGTTTTGTTTTTTTTTTTAATAAAAAATGTGATCAGAGGTAGGTAGTTTTTTTTATGGATATCAACACAACGAAAAATTTAAAGTTGCATAATAAATCTCTATTACAAGAATTAATCAAAGATTGGTTTAGTAAAATTATTTACTTGTAATATTTTTTTATTCGCCGTGAAAGCTAATACAATATAGAAAGCACTGAAACTCTATAATCATTTTCACTCTTTTTTTTTTAAAATATGTACTGAAATTTGAAATTTTTTCAACAAACATTTTAAAAAGTTACAGTATCAAAATTATTTCTTATTTTAAGTAGGAAGACTATTAGAGCATTTAAAAGTGTCTTTAATGCTTGAGTGATTTTAATGCTTTTTATCAAATGTACTTATTTTCTCATGGTGACAAAAAAAATTATCTACGTGAAAATTATTTTACAAAATCAATTTCTGAGTGATCTGTGTAGGGTGAGATTTGTTATGTAATTTTAAATTTAGCGGCGGCAGAATACCTAAAACAAATATTGAGTAGGTAGGTATGTAGTTGTAGAGCGTACAACTAGATGGCGCTTGCATCTTTTACCGGCTACAGGTAATTTAACTCACTGTATTACCGATAATTCCAAGAAAAGGAAAGCAAAAGAAGTTGGAGAAAGTGTCAACAGTTAGCGCTGTTAATGACCACAAAATCTGTTCAAGTTTCCTATCTATAGTATCATTTATCTAGGGGTAGGGTAGTGCTGCTATGCAGCCTGGGATGCGCTTTGCTAAGGTGGTCCTTCGGCTAGCGCGGGAGGGGAGGGTATGGGGGGGTGTATGTGTGTGTGTGTGTCGTTATCTTCGTTTTTTGATCCTGGCGGTCTCTGAAACAGAAAAGGTTAGCGGGCAGGGGGGGGGGAGGCGTTGGGGTGGTCACCCAGGGACAAAAAGTTGGTGTCTAGGTCTTTTGTGTTTGTTGGGTACGTAGTCAACGGCTTGCCTGAGAAGGGGATTGTCAAGTCTAGCGGCTACGTCAAACCGTTTCTCCGCGTTTTGTCTTATTGTCTGTGTAGCGTTTGTGTATTGTAAATCTCGTAATATGTCGATGCTTCTTACGTACCAGGGCGCGTCGGTCGCTGTGCAGAGGGCTATGTTTTCCACAGCCTGTAATGACTTTAAGTGGCTTTTTGCCGCGTGGTCCCACGCCGTGGAGGAGTAGGTTAGCTGCGGTTGAAGTACCACCTTGATAAGCGTTCGCTTATTCCTTACACTGAGGGTGTTTCCACCTTTATGACCCATTTACACAAGGCCAGTTGTGAAGACATTCCACTAAGCCAATCCAACATTGGCATCGTGTAACCAAGGTAACCAAGCCACTCCACTAATCAGAACAGTTTCTAATTTTAGGAGCCAATAGCCTCAACTTGGTCATTGGATTGGCTTAATGGAATGTCTTCACAACTGGCCTCGTGTAAATGGGCTATTAAGTAAGGGATAGAGCCTGGCCCTGGTGGTCTTCGCTCGCGCCACCGTCTCCACGATGTGCGGTTTCCACGTGAGACGCTGGTCCATCGTCACGCCCAGGTATCGTGTTTGTCGATTCCAGGAGAT